TCATGATTTGGGGGATTATTCGGTCATGATTTGGGGGATTATTCGGTACCTCGCTGAGCTGCTCCTGGGCCTTCCTGATGCGGATCATTTCAGGAGAATCAGTGATGATGGCAGGAGGAGTCCCTCTGGACACGTCGTATGCATGCCGGTATTTGTTCTGTCAAGAAGAGCCCAACAGTCAAAACTTAAATACAGTTAAAAAACAACACTGAAATATTCCATCGTTTATCGTTTAGAGCTGAAGCAGACGAAACAGATTGGTTTTGACTCGATGCTCACGTGACTGTACTGCTCCATCATCTTCTGGCTGTGAGCCAGGTACGGAGTCATGAACTTGGAGGTGTCCACCTTCACCTTCTTCCTGACTTTCCTGGTGGGCAAGCCAGACTGGAGGAGGAGGAGGAGAGAGAGGAAACACAATCAGCCACCCGACGACCTGAAGAGGGCCTCGGCTCCTCCATGACAGGAAGGGAAACGTACAACAAGGTGATCATAGAAACGACGAGGAGGACTCAGCGACGTGACAACAAAACAAACTGTTTCAGGTATTTTACAACAGTGATGTGAATTTGTTGATTAAATAACGATCTGATGGTGTCAAGGTGAAGAGAAAACAACCTACCTATCACTCTAATAACTCAATAACTCAATGTGAAGACTTTAACGGGATAATAAATCAGTAACACATTCAGGTGGTTGGGATAAAGTCATGAATGTTGGATGAAGAGTGACAGAAGGACGAACACAACAAGTAACAGGTGGTAAAGCGGTGAATGTGCGGTCACGTCCACGCTGTCTGTGAGCATTGAGCAACGCATGCAACGCCAGCTCAGCAACATGAAGCGAAGCCAGAGACCGACTCACAGGAAGCAGTTAAATGAGCACAATAAAGCAGCCATTTCTTTATAAAGTAAAGTGAATAAAATATCATTAAATCTATTCAAGAACACAAAATGTTGTTCAATTAATTTTCTGTCTTTACTTAAATCAAACAATGACCACTTAAAGTAACTTAAAATCACATTATAATGCATTATAACAGTGATTATAACGCATTATAAAAAACATGATAATGTGTTACAACTATGAGAATTATAATACACAATGATCCTCCTATAAAAATAAAGTCAGTGATATGATTATGGTTATAAAGCATTAATAATATTTATGAGTGCTTATAACTATGATTACACAGAGATATAAGCAGATTATAACACATTATAAGTGTTTATAATGCGTTATGGACATGGACGTCATAGAAAGTGCAACCAAAACAATAATTTCATGTTCATGCAGAGGTTTAACTGATTTCTCGTAAACTTTTAAGGCTTTAACATAAAAACCTGCCAACATCGAGGACAACAGGAGAATTAAGCAGACAGATTATCTATTAACAGACATGCAGATGGATGGGGAGGGGGGGGGGGGAGGGGGGGGGGGGTGCACCGTGGTACTGTTTGAACTGTTGTCTCTTGGGAGAGGAGGAGGTGCTTTACCTGGAAGGCCTGAGAACTCTCGTGCTCAGTCGTCGCTGTCATCTGCTCGACATATTACAAATATAGGACACACTCTGAGGTTTCACAACTACCAGAACACGTCATGGGAGAAACAGCACAGTATCTTTTGATTCATTGGATTCAGATTGAGGGTGATTTTTCTGCAGCTCTGGAGCTCCGCTAACATCTCCGGTGTGACACAGTAGGACGTCACTCTACACCGCATCGCATTAGTGGTTCTGTTCTGTCAAACGCCCTCAAGAAGAAGAGAGGGATCTTTGTCCTAATGTGTAATAAACTGGTGAATGTTACTGTAAGTAAGACTGGAGTCTAATTAAGCCTCTATTGCACATGAGGACAGAGCAGCATTGATATGCTCTGTTATATGAGCCTGAGTGCTCTAACTCTTTGAATCTGGTCAATAAACACCAGCCACTCACGTGACATTATATTTAGACCATTGTTCCTGTCATCCAGCCCTGAATTGACATCTATTGGTTTCTTTTACAGGGACAACAACTGTCTGTTTCTTTTCTTGTTGCTCAGCATGAAAATAATGCCAAAAGAAAGTCAATTAGGATCCTTATTCATGGTGGAGATACAGATTAAATGCATCCACGTGACTAAGCAACAGTCAGTGCGAGTGATGAACTTTATAATGTCCAACAAACAGGACTTTCAACCAGACGACCGGTGTGGTTTTATGGTGGTGGTTTTCCTAAACCTGGTTATGTGGTTTTGTTGCCTAAACCTAACTGTTGGTTTGTTGCCTAAACCTAACTGTTGGTTTGTTACCTAAACCTAACTGTTGGTTTGTTACCTAAACCTAACTGTTGGTTTGTTGCCTAAACCTAACTGTTGGTTTGTTGCCTAAACCTAACTGTTGGTTTGTTGCCTAAACCTAACTGTTGGTTTGTTACCTAAACCTAACTGTTAGGAGAAGAATAATCTCGTCTATTTATTCAAAGGGGGAAAAGCCTCCTAAACCTCCGACTTGCTGATCCATGAATAGCCCGTCTAACTTACAGCCTGCCTGAATTACACTTCCCTCTACTTAGGAAGTATTTACAGTCACATAAGGTGGAACGTTTGGACCTGAAGCTGACCAATAATAACTTCAAATCTAGAATAAACCAGAGCTGCGAGAAAGAACATCTCAAATCCTTTTTGTTGTGTAAGAGGCTTCAACATCTGGATCTATCAGACAGGAGAGAACCATAGGTGTGAATGAAACGCGTCGCTACAAAGCAACGCAAACAGAACCTCTGTGTTTCCATCCCCTCTCTCTCTGAGTGAACGCTGTGACGCTAACGCGTTCCATCAGAGTGTGATTTACAGCACAGAGGCTTCTCTCCCTCTCCCTCTCCCTCCCTCTCTTTACCTCTCCCTCCATTCCATCTCTCTGCCAATCTGCCGTAGATGTCCACTTCTAAATTTGTGCGGATGCCAGACAGAGAACTCTTGGCTCCACCCCTCAATAACCTGAGGAGTTAAAGGAGAACTACGCCTCTTTTAAAATAAAATCCATACGTGTTATTCCTACTGTCTGAAAATATTAACAAACGTAAACAACTCTCTCCAGAATCCAAAAATAAAATAACATTTTATTCCAGTTTGCTGCTCCAAGTGACTGGAATGAGTTGCAAACACCCAAATATGAACAATGTGTACAATATATATTGTGCATACTGTGGTGTTGTAAGTTTTGTATGAGATTGTTTGAGATGTATCTTTGTTTTATTGTGTCGCCTTGTTGACCAGGTTGTCATTGTAAACTGGTTCTCAATTGGATTATCTGGTTAAATAAAGGTGAATAATAATAATAATACATTTGTGATATCATCAAGTATGACGTATAAACTGCTCCATAGATATTGAATTGATAAAGATGTTATAGACGACACTGAGAGTGACCAGTCTCTTCTCATTCTGTTTCATAGCTGAGAAAGCTTCAATACAATGAAGCTCATTTAGGGATAAAAAAAAGGAATAAAACATTAATTGTGTACGAATACGCACGTACTTTCATTCAACATACTTTTGTGTGTATAAACAGTAGTATGCATCTTTTCTGACGCACCGATTTGTGAGAATCCTAAATTCTGAACTAATTTGAAAATATATTACGTCCAGCAAGTAACATCTTACTGTTCAACTGAAGCGTTATTGACGTTGCAGAGCTGTCGAGCCATCGTCTGTTATGAATTATGTCGTAACCACCGCATTGCATTGTGTGATATTAATGCTGGCTTAGTGTCCAGTGTTTGCATTACAGTAAGCAATTTGAGTACTATTGGTTTCATAATAAGGCTTCAGACATCCTAAAAACAATGTGCACATTACTGTCTAAGCGCAATTAATACAATTCTGGACGCAAACATAAAGAGCTGCAGCAATGAGTCCTAAATGGAAGAATCCTATTGGCTGTTTGTGGAGGAAACCAGTGATGATGACATCATTCCTACGGGAAGTCTGTGAAGCAGCTTTATACTTGATGACGCCACAAGGTTAGACTTACGTCTGTGGTTTCTGAGAGAGAGTAGCTCACGTAAATAAAATAACATGAAATAACATGCTGAATTTCTTAATTCAGGTGGTGTTCATTTACTAGTTAACATGAAGAAAATACTACTCATGATCATAATGAGGTATAAAGTAGATCAATAGCAAATAAACTCTGTCTGAAGTGATTAAACTAGGTCTATGTTTTCTTTTCTCATAGACGAGCTGAACAGTCGTACGTATGTTTCTCCCCATTCTGTAGATGAAATAAGAAGCCGTCCTACTGTTTACTCAGAACAATGCAGCTTCTCTCCACAGTGCAGATGAAAGAGCCAGTGAAATCAGAGTGTATTGATTTTGGTTGATGGGTATCCGCTTGTTCCGCCTCCCAAACGATTTACATCTTTGCAGTAAAGATGGTAAATCTCTTTGAAACAGTTGATATGTTATATGGGAGTCAAATGACCACTGATTGATTGGTAATACATTTTATTTTAAACCATTCAGACTCCCCTATAAGATATCAGCAATATTAAGTATGAAGAAATATACAAGGCAAACTTTAATCCTATTTCACCAGGAAATATGAGATTAAGCTGTTAGCCTTCTGTTTTCACTCTTCCATTGGACACTGACAGGAAGACCTTCACATATATATATATATATATATATATATATATATATATATATATACACACACACATGTACATAATTCAGACACAAAGCGCTCTCCTGAAACATCCTGAAGACACAAACAGGTCAATTTAAACAAAACTTGCTGCTGAAACTTGCACACTCCTGAATTCTATGTAATCCAATCTGCTCTATTTATGCTGCAAGAGGAAGAACACATTCGTCATGTCGGGAGCCATTACATCACTGCAAAATGTGTCCATCGATAGGTTAGACAAGCTGCAGATATCTGATGGTCTGCTACAAAGAAATGTAGTTAAATCATATGCAAGAATAAACTCTTGTGCATCTGGCTGTTGTCACTAGACTCCATTTTATATATATATATATATATAGGATGGCATGCCAACTACATATGATTTCTTGCCATCTTTACATTTATAGCACAACAATGTCCCAGATAAAGATTCTATCTTGAATTTGAAACAGTTTTGATTAAAGTGGCTGTTAAAGGCAATCCAGGACTCAGAAGGTGTCCGTCTGAAACCGGATTCCCCAGAAGAAGTTCTTCCATGAACTGCTGACTGGAGGGGGGGGGCACTAACTGAACTATTCATAGGGGACTAGAACCTGCAGGCCCTGTATCTAACCTCAACTCTACTGAATCATTTCTCATTTTTTAAATCGTATTTAGGCTAGAAACAATCAAAGATAATCAAATACAGATAACAGTGAGAAAACTTCCACTTACCTCTTCCTCAATCTCCTCCTCATACTCCTCATACTCCTCATACTCCTCATACTCCTCCACAACTTCCGTCATTTTGAGACGGATTTAGAGTCTCTGCGTAAAACACAGACAACATTTATTATTCATCATTTGAACTGTGAATGAACAAAGTTCAGAAGTTAACTTAAATGTTCCATCAGTTGCATCGAGTCACACATGTCAGACAGCTTATCCCGGGGCTCAGACCAGAGATCAGAAGAGACAAATGCACCAGTGATATTTTAGGACGCGGCCAGTCACCCCCCCCACTGCTGAACCCAGTTACCCCGATTCAAAGACAGGAAATAATACACAGCAACCGCATGCTAGAAAATAACTACACAAATATATTGACGTTAAACCAAAGGTGTGTGTCGTACCAGCAAAAGATTCCCGCAGTATTTTCCTGACAGTAAAAAAAAAAAAAAGCCTCACTTGCCATCCACTAGGGTCTCAAACTGAACCGCCTAAATCCTAGAAACAAAGTGATAAAAGAAGTGTGTGAAACGCCTCACAAAGTGTCAATCAGTAGCTGCAGATTAGGAAGGTGAGACACATTACAACAGGCCCGTGAATGTGCGACAGCCACAACACAGCTCAGAGGAGCTGAAGGTTGGCGACAGCTGCCCAGCAGAACTTCAGCTATTTGACATGTAAGCTAATGCCGCAGCCTGATTGGTTGACTCTGTTTAGCAAATGGTGGGGCCAATGCCTTCTGAGGCTGCAGGTTAAATATAGGATGGCATACTAAGTACCTTTTTTAGCACTTCATTACCCTCTCTTTAAATCAAAAGGCAATTTTCTCTGTACAATAATAAGAGAAATAGACGAAAGGACAAAAAAAAGCTTAACAGGTGTTGAGATTTCAGAGAGAAGGCCGCTGCTGGAATTTCAGATACATCCAAAGAAAAAAGAGAGGCCTGGTTTCATCGTGTTGGATTCTTGCAGATCTTGATTGTTGGGTTATTCCTTCAATGTGCAGCAGAGCCTTTACACTCTTTATCCCTCAATCAGCTGGATCCAGATGGCAGCAGAGGACGGAAATAACGGACATCCGAGCAGATGGAAAGCCATGCAAGTGTGTAGAAATATGGATATTTAAGGGTTTTTGGTTTTCCTTATTTTGCTTTCTTACCGGTTACACAAAGTTTAAAGGTCTGCCAAGCCGCCAAAGTCTCCCCAGCTTCCCTCCAGAGAAACACCGGGCGACAGCACACAGCTGCGATTTCTACCCAGGTTATCATGTGGCCGACTCAGCCAATCACAGGCTGGCACTCTCAGGTTTCAGAATCTAAATATACATAAATGATCCCCTCAGAAAAGAGCACCTGTCGAGGCGAATGCATCAGCGGTACGGTTATGAGGAAGGAACGGAAAGCACAAGAAGAAAGAAGGGTCAACCCCGACTACAACAGCAGCACTCTGTGTGAGGGGGTGTGTTGACAAATGCTAGTTTGTTTTGGGTTTTTTTGCAAAAGGTTTTGGAAGCAGGTGTGATCGTGGGTGAGGATGTGAGCTGAAGACCCAGCAGGGCTGAGAGCCAGACCTGTTGAGGTCATCAGTTAGCTGAGCCTGAGCTGGTCCTCTCTAGAATCCGGTCAACATCAAACTCAAGGTGGTTTGATGTTGACGCTATCTAAAATAAATGAGGTCTGACAAATCACCAATGCCCCTTGGATTACAGACAAAGCCTGTAAATGAATAATGAGTCAACCCAGACAAGTCTTGACATTTGCTTTGACATGACATGATACATTTAGAACAGTAGAGAAAAGAGGAGAGGAGTGGAGAAGAGAGATCGTAAAGGAGAGATCGTAGAGAAGAGATTGTAGAGGAGAGATCGTAGAGGAGAGATCGTAGAGTAGAGATTGTAGAGAAGAGATCGTAGGGGAGAGATCGTAGAGTAGAGATTGTAGAGAAGAGATCGTAGGGGAGAGATCGTAGAGAAGAGATAGTAGAGGAGAGATCATAGAGAAGAGATTGTAGAAGAGAATAAATCGTAGAGGAGAGATCGTAGAGGAGAGATCGTAGAGGAGAGATTGTAGAGGAGAGATCGTAGAGAAGAGATCGCAGAGGAGAGATCGTAGAGAAGAGATCGTAGAGAAGAGATCGTGGAGGAGAGAT